GGGCCATTAACTTAACAAACATGAGCCGCCCCAATCATTCTCTTATAAATCCTCTGGCTTATTTCCTTGTTCCAGGAAGCCCTATTTGAAGAAAGGGACTTTATTCCATTTTATGCAGAGATAATGGGTGTCAGTGTCAAGAGAACAAACCGGTTAGTTACGAAGTCCAATTTGTGTGTTGTAGGTTTTGCTCCTTGGTCCACTGACGTTCATATTAAAACTCTTATGGGTCTTCAGCTGGGCCAAGCTTTTGCCCTTCAGAGTAACCATCAATCAATCAGTCCAGTTACCGTGCTGTTTGGAATCCTTAGTATATGCAGCCCAAAAGGCACTGAAGGGATTGTACAAGTACAACTAGAGTATATAGGAAAACTTTACCCTAATGCATAATCTTGAATGATTTCCTTGGTCCTTGAGATACAAATGTGAGTATCTGCAATGTAGCCGCTGTGCTGTGTTGTTGATTTTAAGTATTAGAGCACACCCTGTTGTAACCCTGTGCATTTTACATTGCATTTTGCTGGGCAGAGGATTTCCCGCCTGTTGAAGTAGTGGTGGAGACATTTTAAATTTATATTCTTCCCCTCCCACTGAGCTCTAGGCCTCTAGAACATATGGAATAATGATGAGTCAGCCTAAGAAGGGGCCCTTTTATATACATGATATTGTTTCAGGCTAGCATTTTCAAGTGTCTAAATCTCACTGAAAATCAATGTGGTTTGGCCCCTCACCTCCCTTTGAAAATCCCAGCTTTAATGTTAAATATATATTGGTCCGTGAGAACAGAAACTCCTGGTACTATCAACAATAAAAAGTTCAACAGATGTTGGGAAGTGGAGAGGTAGGAAGGCTAAGCAGTTTATAATGCTGAAGTGTAACTAATGAAGGCCTCAGGCCTGATTCTGATACAGTTTACACTAACACCATTTTAATTCAAGTGTAGCTCCACTGCCTTTAACAGAGTTACTTCTTTACTTTACTACTAGAGTAAATTCTGATTTACACTAGAGTAAGAGAGATAAGAACCAGGCCCCACGCCTCTAATGCCAGTGGCTAAACAACTGATCAGCATGTGCTATCATAGCGTACAATGCGGCACTTATTGGCAGAGATTGGTTCATTAATGGCTATTGGTAGAAATAAATTGATCTGTCTGATGGTTTACCACCACCTGTTCTCTGATTGTTAATATCCCTTTGATTATTTCAAAGATTTTGAGTATAAACGTGTCAAATGAAAATTCAAGTTCCTTTGCTGTGAATAACAGAATTATGAGAAGTCACACAAAATTCTCCATTCCCCCATATTTTATCAGTGTCCCCTTGAAGCAAGAAAAGCACGCAAAATCTGGTAACCAAGCATAGCAGTTCATAGGGTAAAACCTGCATCAAGAGAAAGATGGGGATCTGAAATACTCACAAATAGGAAAGCAGGTGCAGTACACAAGACCTGCACTCCTTTATGTTATGGTCCGCTATAATGAAACATATTGATCATGTTGTGGCAACAAATGGTAAAAAAAAAAAAAGACATTTTGAAATGCAGACTTGGTGGTCCAGCTTATACATTACTCCAAATTCTCAAACTTCACATATAACGACTGTGTAATTGCTCTGTAAGAGACTGATCCTACAAAGTTATCTGCGTGCTCTCATGTGAGAGCACATTTGCAGGATTGGGCCCTTAATCAGTCCCCTCAATGCTTATCATCCATAAAAGTAATTTCAAATGTAGGAAAAAAAGTTTTACTTAATTATCTTCTTTTCCTGGTTTGAACTGACCAACTTTGTGTCTTTCACGGGCTTTATCAAAGAAGCCGCCAGCACAAGAGTACATTTCATTTTAAGTGCGCTTTAGTTGGTGGATTTAAAACTGATCATGCATTTTAGTTTCAGTAACTTGCAATTTCTGCACTCTTTGATAATGCACTTTAAAGAAAAAACCTTCTTTAATGACAAGGTTTAAAAGAAATGACATTTCTGAACAAAATATCAAAGCTGAGAAAAGACCGTTCTTTTTTTTAAAAAAAGAAAGTATGAATTAAAATGACCTTGTGTTCTGAAACTTTTTCATATGATACTTGATGTTCTATCTTCTCTTTCTACCATCAGAATGAGACCTAGTAAAATTCATTAGCGCCTAGTGCCTTCAGTGAATTGTGATTTGCATTAAGATAATTTTAAAAATCAAATCCCTGCTACATTCTCTATTAAGACTGCTTATCACTGCGGCTGTATATGTTTTTTTTAAAAAAAGAGATTACTGTAACTTTTAACACTACAGATATTAGTGACCACAGATATTTTCTTCCGGTCACAGTAAGTCTTCTCTGTTAGGAGCACAGCCACTTCTCAGTTTGAAACAGCATGAAACATTGAAGTTGTTTGCATAGGATATAGGCAAGTAGCAGAAGAGCTTCCGTTATGCTGGGGGAAAACAAAACAAACCCTTACAACTAAAGCTCTGTTGTAGAACAAAGCAAAGGGGTTTGATGGTGCGTGGGGGTTCTATCCCTTTTCTTCCAACTTTAAGAGAAATAAACATTTGTTACATGTATCAGAAGAACTGTAAGCGGCAGTGAAACAAAGTTTCACCTTGATAAGGGCAAGGACTCCCTCACCACAGGTGAATGATTTGATGTCTTTTTTTTTTTAATTATTTGTGTGATTTTTACACAGAATTAAACAATCATCTTTTCTACTGAAAAAAATCAGTAAAATAATTATGCACAAATACAGCCGTAATCAAGCCACAAAGAAGCCTGTTTACTGTGTGGTAATGAAATCAGCCACTTTCAGCTGACAACTCTTTTGCTAGAAAGTGAACCTCGGGTAAAGGGCCTTGACTAGCCAGTCAGCAGTAAGAGTTACAAGCCGTGAAACCAACTGTTACCTGATAGTTAATTACATCCCGGTGTGATACTTCTTGATCATGTACCAATTACAGGGAAGGCACAAACCTCAACTTTTTTTAAATGTAAGAAATGTTTAAAAAAATTATAGCAATTCATTTTATGGGGTGAACCCCAGGACCTGGTTTAGTTTACCGCTGGCCTCCATAGTACTTTCTCCGTAAGGGGAGATCATCTCAATTCTGAAACACTCAAATTGACCACTTTCTGCTTTTCTCCCTCATTCTTAAACTGTTTGTTGAGATCATCACTGATGTTAGCAACCCATTTCCTTAGTACATAATGAAATTCAGATCTGCATTGTTAGTCTACTCAGGGATCCATGTGCAACGGAGGTTATGTGCATTAGTTTCGCTACTCCACTGATTTCAAGAGCCCTATAACCACTCTGATAGGTGCAAAAATATTAGCAGCATGCTAATCATCACTCATCTCATTTCACTTGTGCTTGGGAAAAGAGGTTTCATCACAATAGATGCTTCTATTTCAGATCCAACACAAAGCAATTTACAAAAGCTAATCCACTCAGTTCAGAATCTGCAACTCAGTGAACTCTTGAAATTTCTTCTGAAGAGCTGAATTAATGTTGCCATATGTCTTTCTGAGTAAACAGTTTTTAATTTTTCTACCCACAACAAATTAAATGTATCTTGGCACATCACTCCTAGTAAAACACACCATCGCCCAAGGCAGCGCTTAGTGGCACCTGCTGCATCACTTCTCTGATGATCTGAGAGCTCTGAAGAACCTTTATCCATAAGCAATGGGATCACTAATTGATTCAGAGAAGGTAGAAAACCTATAGCTCAGCCACAGATGGGCACAGGCCAGGACCAGCCTCACAATTAACAAAGCACCAAGCAAAGGTGGAGAGGTGATGTGTGGAACGGGAGGGTGAAATCTGGCAGAAAGTTGCCTCTCCCAATGGTCCTGCTGCCAAGAGGTGAGGGTGGGTGTAATCTGGTCTGCCAACAAGTTTCCTCCCTCATTTATCTAGATGCCAGAAGGGAGATGATACTGGAGCAGCCTGTGAGCTGAGGGCTCAGCATGTATGCCACAGTGCCCCTAGAGGTCAGTTGCATGGCTGTTGCTTAACAACACAGCCCTTTTCATCATCAAATCTCTTTACAAATAGCAATACATTAATGCTCACACCACCCTTCTGAGGAAGGTATCCAAGGATTATCATCACCATTTATCACTGACAGGGAGAAGTTCAATAACTTGCCCAAGGCCATTGTCAGTAAATTCTTGTCTCCATATCCTGTGTCCAGACCACTAACTGTGTCATGTTTGCCAGAGATACACAGAGGGAAAAACAGCTGGTTTCTTATATTCCCCACTTTTCAGTTTGTGGATTAAAACCAGCTAGTAATGGCCATTCTTGAACAATATGAACAACAGAAAAGAAGAACCCAAGTTTACAAGCTGATGAGTGCCTCCAGGTAGGTGCTGTGTGCTCTCAGCTTCCATTACTTTCAATGTCTCAGAGCCTATAAGCACTTAGGCACCTGCTAAGGTTTAAGCACATAAGTAGCCCCAGTGACTTCAATGGGACTACTAAGATACTTAAAGTTAAGCACATATGTTTTTGCAGAATAGGGGCCCTTATTTGCCTCTCTTTTCAAAATACACCACATAATTCAATGCATTTTCATAGAAAAGAACCCTGTCCTGTGGCTGCCTAGCCTGTGTCATGCCTACTGATGGCCATTAATCAGAAGAGTGACTAAAGGCAGCACTTGTGAAGTTTCCATAGTTGGAACAGGATTTTTCCCTGTGAATACATCACGGTATGTAAAACCCTCACAAACATCATGACTATTTCAGCAAATGAAATGTTCAGGGACCACAAACAATGTCAAAACAAAAAAGTACAAAAGAATATTTTAATATTATGTAAACATATGAACATGAAAACAATGTAAAATATGTTTTTAAAATATACTGAATAATAATAATAATAGAAACATGATTTTATCATGTATAAAATTGAATAAAAATGATATTAGGAAGTGATAGCAAAACCAATAGTCGAGGGAATTTAGTTTCGCAGTAAGTAAATTGAGCACACACAAAACACAATATATCAAAATTGTAAATCTGTAATAAGATAATGGTAAAAAATAATTCAAGTAAGATACAACTCAAAAAACTCTAGCATGAATGATGAATGTGCTTTCATGAGCTTAATTACATTTTCTGTGCTAACAAAACAGCCACTGATCTCACAGTTTAATTTACAAGATCCAAATCTTCAAACCTGCTGAAAGAAGTCCATTTGTCACTTGAACAATTTCCTCTGCTCCAGCAGTTACCTAAAATTAAAATGTTCTCCTTAGTTATATCTTACTATTATTTGTATTAGAAAGTGCTCATAGGCATGAATCAGGATCAGGCCTGTTTATGCTACACATTGAACACATATATATATTACATTCAGTCCCTGCACTGAACAGCTTATCAAGTATCCTCAAACACTGCACAACATTAACAAAGAAGGGTCTGCTAATGAATCAGTGTGAAGATAATACTTCCCTCTGCTCCCCCTTGACTCCCTCCAAATGACCATGAATTTAGTCTTGTGAAAGATTCTGGCCTGATTCTCTGTTAACCACAGAACAGGCTGTAGCAGTACAAACTTCTCCAAACTAGGCTGCCAATGTGGTTTAACCTTAGGTATAGCCATTGGAATACAATAGTAAAGTTAATTTTCCTACCCTTCTCCTCTATTAAGAATGGCACTAAAGTCATTACACACAAGCCACATTCAAATGTGTTATTCAACTTTTGGTCAGTAGTGCCCTGGATCTAAACCTATGACTGGATCTATAAACCATTACCAATCTTTTAGCCAGCTAGTACTCTGTGTGAAAACACTGACTGGCTGTCTCAGTGGAAACTTTTGGGCCAAAAGCATTGCTGTGTAATTCCATTGCTCGCAAAAAAAATACACTGAATCAATGTTTATCTGACAATGGCTCCTATAATACCAGGTACAGAACAAAAAATCTCAGGGAAACAATGTGAACACACACACACACACACCTGTACATATTTTATCATCAGTCTCAGTTATAAATATCCAGAATGTTAAGAAGTCCTTTTAACATTCATATTTTCAGACTAGTTTTTATATCTTACATGGTTTTCATTAAAATATCTGCTATTTATATGTGCACATCCTGTTCTTTGCAGAAATCCTGCTGTGAGATATACAATTATCAATGAACCCTATAAGGCCAAAAAAACCTCAACGACCTTGCTTGGAAGTTTCCTTTTTCCCAATCATCCAGGTGAATCATTTACTGTAAGGGCACAGAGAATCTTTTTATTGTTGTTGCAACACTTGTAGTCATTTATTTTGGATGGTGTACATGTCTGAAACAAAGCTAAAGATCCTGTACTTTGAAGCTGTAAGCTGTAATATTCAGAACTGCATCATCGTTTTCTATCTTTAAAAGAAGGCAGCATCACCGCAGACCTGCAGCTGTGCACTGTTTCATCATGAACATGGAGGCAAGGCCCAGACTTGTATTGCACCTGCAAGTTCTCTAATCTTGCTCTAATAGCACTGACTAAGCATTGTGGTTAGAAGAGCTGAGTAACTTCTCAAAGACAGCTTGTTTACTGAAAATAAGGTTCTTTTTAAAGTGCAACCATATTTAAGCATTTTAATTAAGTGGTAAAACTTCAATAGCTGAGACCCACAGGTGTGAAATGGTACAAATTGAGGAGAAGACACTCATTTACCTTCTGGTGTGGTACACATTCAGTTCTTCTTGTAGGACAGATGCTCTCTTCTGCAGAAAGTTTACCTACAAAATACAGCCCATATGAAAGTGGAGTATAAAATCTTAATGAATCAATTGGTACTTATTTCACAGAGGCTGACTTTACTGTCTAAAGCCCAGTTTATGCTGGCGAGAGAAATCTCAATAGCACCTTAGTCGTGAGCTGGATTTAAGCAATGATGCTTGACCGAAAGTTGCTAGTGTGGTTTCCCTGGCCTGTGTACTCACAGCATTAATCCTGCACCCTATACACTCAGTCAGAAGCCAAAACAGCCACGATAACTTTTTGGACTCAGAGCTATACTGGATAATGTAGCATGTGGACTAAACATGGGACTGAGAATCTGAGTTTTAATCCCAGCTCTGACGCTAAGTCAGTTCACTTCTCTACCTCAGTTTCCTTATCTGAAATATTGTGAAAACAACATTCCACTTTCTCACAGGGTGTGTGAGAGAATTAATGCTTATATTATGTAGCACTATCATGTTAGGACAGCTTACAAAGAGCTCATGGGGGTGGGCAGTGAACAATTGTGCAATGCATTTTAAACTTTACTAAAGTTTTAGAAAACTTTGCTGAGCAGTGAATATTTGTTCATTTTTAACAGTTCTTGGTTTGTCACCCCCCCAGGAACAATTAATAATCCTGACAGGTGTAAGGATTCCACTGCCGTTCTCCTCTGATGTTTTCAGACTGGAATTTCAACAATTTTCAAAGACAAGGACACCTGTGCTTTAGAAGAGAACCCTGCTTACTGAATGGTTTGTGACTACTGTATACTGCTGCAGATGAAGCCAGCAGCTACGTGTTTGTGCGTTAACACCCAGTTTTAGGAGTCTGGAGTTACTTTTAGTCCTTTGAAATGCTGCTGATCCTAAAAGAAGCCCTGCAGGTGTATATCAGTTTCAATTTTAAAAAACAATACTCACTGTAAAGTGAAGTATTCTTATATCTGTTCCAATGGAATGCTTCCTACCAGACAAAGTTAACAGTAAACTAAACTTTTAATTGGCCTTTTACTATCACCTGGAAATAGATCATCCTGGTAGATCCTTAACCCTTTATTGGTCTGCAATGACTTTAATCAGATTAAATATCAGTACCACTGGAAATTCCTTTACATGCAATAAATAAATATCTGCAATCGACTATTAACTTGTGTCACCTTTAGCATGTGGGACTATAAAGCTCTCTCTTATGGAAATGTCATATTTCTGTTAAAGACAGACATTGCCAAGGGAAATTCCCATGCATAGCAAAAAATGTTACAAACTAACTTTTATAAACAGAGAATGTAAGTAAATTAAACTAACAACCATTTCCAGGGAGAGAGATGGACGATGTGGTTCTATTTAATATCTTATGTAAAACTATAAGCGGTTTTATGATTTTAAGTAACGACCTCATTTCAAACAACATTTTACCAAATAAATCCAAGCCAAAAAAAGTTGACTTCTGCACAAAAAAAACTCGCTTAACAACTCAGATAGCAGTTTAACCTTTCATTCCCCCCCCTCCCAACCTTTGGCATTTCATGAACATATGCATGTCTTGGCATTTCAAATGATTCCACATGGATTATGAATGGCTCCTGAAGGATTCTGCTATCCAGAGTGGAGTTTGTACATCACATCACCACCATACACAGCGTACCCTTATAAACTCAAAGAAATGTAGGGTGGAAAGGATCTAGAAGTCATCTAGTCCACCCCCGCGCTTAGGCAGGACCTAGTGTACCTAGACCATCCCTGACAGTTTTTTGTCTAACCTGCTCTTAAAATCCTCCAAGATTTGAGATCCACCATCTTCCTTTGTACCCTATTCCAGTATTTAGGATGTTTTTCTTAATTTCTAACCTAAATCTCCCTTGCTGCAGATTAAGTCCACTTCTTCTTGTCCTGCCTCCAGTGGACACGGAGAACAATTGATCACAGTCTTCTTTATAACGACCCTTAACATGTTTGAAGACTTATCTGTTCCCCCCCTCAGTCTTCTTTTCTCAAGACTAAACATGCCCAGTTTTTAAAATCTTTCCTCAAAGGTCAGGTTTTCTAAACCTTTTATCATTTTTGTTGCTCTCTCTGGACTCTCCTCAGTTTGTCCATGTGTTTCCTAAAGTGCGGCACCCAGAATTGGATACTACTCCAGCTGAGGCTTCACTGGCGCCTAGTGGAATGGAACAATTACCTCCCATGTCTTACCTACAACATTCCTATGAATACAGCCCGGAATATCAGCCTTATTTGCAACTGCATTACATCAGTGACTCATACTCAATTTGTCATCCACTATAACCTCCAGGTCCTTATCAGCAGTACTACTTCCTAGCCAGCTACTGTGCATTTTCCTTCCTCAAGGCAGTACTTTGCACTTGTCTTTATTGAATTTCATCTTGTTTCATTTGTTACGTTAATTTTGAAATCTAATCCTGTTCTCCAAAGTGCTAGCAACCTCTCCCACCTTGGTGTCATCCACAAATTTCATATGTATATTCTCCACTCCACTGACCAAGTCATTAATGAAAATATTGAATTCTGCTGGACCCAAGATTGACCCCTGCGGGACTGCACTAGATACACCCTCCCCTGTAGACAGTGAACCATCGTTAATTGTGCTGATTATGGTCGTTCAACCAGTTCTGCATACTCCTTATAGTAATTTCATCTAGATCGCATTTCTCTTATTTGCTTATGAGAATGTCATATGGGGCTGTGTCAAAAGCCTGGCTGAAATCAAGATACATCACATCTGCTTCCTAACTATCCACTACCCAGTAGCCCTTCCAAAGGGGTAAGGGTTTTTTTTTTTTTTTAAACATGATCAGTCATTGGTTTAAAAAAATGACATTTAACAGTTTGTCTTCATCTTTACTATTCTTACTTCTAGGGCTGCAATTCAGATTAATTTACAGTTTCATATATTTTAAGACAAGAAGGAACCATCTAGTTTTATCTAACACATAACACAGGTCTTAGAATTTCCTGAGTTAATTCCTGCTGCAAATCCAAACTAAAATGCTGTGTGTACCAAATCAAATGTCTTTGACAAGATATTATATCAACGCTATTACCTTTATCAACCAAACTTGGAATTAATTCAATGGACTTTTGAGGCAGTACCTAAAAAAGCAAAGGGCTGCTTTATTATACAGGCTGCAAAGGAAACAAAGAGTCCCCCAGGGCATGGCGAACAGAGTTTCTTCTGAAGAAACACTGATAATAGATAGTTGCTAACCATACTCTGTCTTCAGCAGCATATTCTTGGGAAAGAAAAAAAGGTAACAGTTGCAACATCATTGCTGACTTTATTTTCTACTTTCAGCTGGCATTTGAGGTAAATCCCGTGGATCAAGAGAGATGACTCTTTCACTAGCGAGATGAGGGAGATGGGGAGAGGGGGATCCTAGCAGAAAGGTGATGGTGTGATAAGCATCTGACTCTTGCCAGTTTATCACTGACCTCAATCCAATATTGCCAAATTTAATGCATTCATAGTTTCCTTTATAAAAGAGATGAGTGTTATTTAAACCCTAGAATTGGAGACAATTGAGTGCTGATATTTTACCTGAGATTTTAAAGATGCAATGGTGTCTTCGAGTTCCTTTCTCAAAGATGCTGGCATCAGACCTTTGAGTTTGGTTTCATATTCTTGTCGTATGTATGTCACCTGAAATTGAATAAAGAGATTTAAATGACACATAACCAATTTGGGGGGAGGAGAGAATCTTCACAGCCAACTTCTTCTTCGAGCAGTGTTTCCCAATTTGGAGGCCAGAACAAGACTAATTGGGGGTGGGGGGCAAGGGAGGGTGAGGACACAGAGGAAGAAAGCTGTAAGAACGCAGACCCACCATTGCACACAGACACTGCAAGCATGCTGCCACCTTTGCAGGTCAAGTGGTAGGCAGCTCCTTAATGTCACCAACCTTCCCTCTCTGCTTCTGCTGTGCCCTTTATGCAACCAGCTGTAGTTCTCATTACTCAGCTCAGCCTTGTATGGCACCAGTTACCATCCCCAGGGCCATGCAGAATTCTGGTGAGTGGAAGAACAGGGAGCGGGTTCTGGGGGGTGGGTGGGGCAGCGCGGAGAGGAGAAAGTGTCCCCAAAACACATAAAAGAGCAAAAGAGAAGAAAGAAGAAAAGAAGTAGAGAGAAAAGAAAACAAGAAGAAAAAAGAGGGTATATAGAAAAGGAGTGAGGAAAAAATGGGCAGAAAAAGGAGACATAGTAGGGGCTCTGTTAAGAACTGGTGTGAGAGGACAAAGGAAGGGCCATGTGGCTATCTCCCTCTAATCCGTCCCTGGGAAGCTTTAACGAAAGCACGGCTGGGGACTGGGCAGAGGGCCTCATGCAGTAGCCACTGAAGTCAATGAGAGCCTTCCTGTTGACTTCAGTGGGCGTTAGCTCAGGCCCACAGGCATTGCTTGTGTCTCACTCCTAATATATGAGACAAAATAACTCTGTATACAGAATTTTTTAAAAAACACTTCGAAGTTAGAAAGTTTTGTAAGGAGCAACATTTTGTGTCTATGGATGTAACTATGTTTTATTTACAGCTTGGCATTTCTTGGACTTCATTCCAGGACTATTAATGCCCTCCAGCTAAGTGATGCACTCAGAATAGTTTAATGACTTGTCAATCCCCATCTAGATATTTTGAGGATCTTGTCTTACTTATTATTACACGGAAAATTTGCAAGACATTCCTTGCCCTCTTCACAGCTCATTTTTCAGTCAAATTCATTGCAGCAGAATCAAAATTGTTGATCTACTATTCTTCTAACCAAGCTCTAAAAGTATTAAATTGAGTAGGACCAAAACCTGTCTCCTGAAATGATTATTCTTTTTTAAAGTAATTTCTAGGCACATTATCTGACACTACAGCAATCTCCATATGCTTTTGCTTTCTGCTTGACCTTTCCCTTTTGGCTGCAATGAATTCAAGACTCTGCTGGAGATTCAAATGCTCAAAGAGATTTCTAAAATGTTTGGACTTGGAATGACTCTGTGAGCATCTTCAAAAGACCAATGTGTGATCTCCTTACACATGATTTTGGGTATATATCAAGGAAATATTACCACCCTAGCAGCTCATCCCAGTATACTTAAAAATATCACTATAAAGTTATGTCTCCATTCGAACCATATAGAGAATCATGAATTGATTTTTGTCTACATAAATGATCACCAGTCACTGAGGGATGGATTCAATACCCATTGAAATCAACAGAAGAACTCCTTATTGGCTTCAGTGGGCATTGTATCAGGCCCTTTAAATATGAAAGGGTGTGTAACTCCCCAAAAGAAATAGCTGCAAGAGTGAAAAAAATTATTTTTGAACTTTCAAAAAGAAAGTGTGATGAATAAAGGCTGAAGTAAAGGAGTTCCATACTATTTCGTTTGGGGTTTCTGACATAGATATGCATTGCTACCATGACATCTTTGGTACCTACCAGCAGTGTCCATAACTATGTCATATGCACTTTAGGACTAATTTATACAAGTTAAGGAAAGAGCAGAACCAGCTGCAGTCATCATTTTCTAATTATTTATACTTAATTTCCCCCTCCTTTTAATTATAAAGTATTATAAACAATCCCCCACCGAAAACTGACTGGGAAAGGGCATTTCAAGAAGCTTGGTTGTAAGCAAAGAATGCAGGAGACCCATGTCTCTCATTGCCTAGGGCATGCTGCCCTGGTGCATTGTTTACATAATACTCTTGAGTCTCAGGGGAGTTTGGTTGATGATTGTTTTATTCAATAGTTTTGGATCATTCGTACTTAAAGACCATGCAACTGGATGGAGGATTACAGCAAGATATCTTTGCAGATGTCTACAATAAGAAGAAAAGTTTCAGGTGAATATAAATAATCATAGAATCTTAGAATCATAGAACTGGAAGGAACCTCGAGAGGAAACTTATCTGAATATCTGCTTTTTTGGATAGGTACCTACGTGTCTAATTCGGATCACATATGTCTATTGTGAATTTAACACATTACACTAGCCAGTCTGATAGTGAACTTCCTTTAATCTTTTGTTTGGGATTTAGCAATCACATTAAGCTGGGGGAAATGTAAGCTTACTGTGTTGCTGTATTGCTATCTAATACAGAGTGTTCATAATAGTCAACTGGCTAACGATGGCTGACTAACAAGAAGTCTATGTCATGACACATATTACATGGTCTCAGCACCAAAAGTAAAATTAAGTCTTTTCCCATAAACTGGATGTTCTTCTTCATGCACCTAACCAGATGAACTTGGAAGGGAATGTATCAAATATGGAGAAGGTGAGTGGACTCTTTAAAATATATGGGAATGCAATAAGGAGTATCTAGGTTAGGCAAACTGCAATGCTCATTCCCACTGCAGTGATTAGGAAAACAGACCTAAGAGATTTAGAACACATTCCTGTTTGAAGATGGGGAAATGGAAAATATTTGAACATTACTGCACTCAAAAGTGAAATATCATAGTGGAGCACCACATGTACATTTGCAAACAGAAAGTAAATGACCCATGGGCTCATTTTATTACAGGGTGGTAGACATTTAAAAAAATGGACATGGTTGTTGTAGAGATGTTACAATTTAGGATTTTTGGGCATGAAAATGATAATTTCTTAAGCACAAGGACTTGTTAATAATCAGCCACCTTTATTCAATGACATCATCACTAAGTGGTATTATATCAACATAGATCAACTGGGAGTAGGATTGGGCCTTATATTTTCCCACTATTGTTGTATTCACTAACATCCTAACGTAGCAAAGCACTTAGACCCTGATTCAGCTTGGTCCTTGAGCATGTGATTAGTCGCACTAATCAATTCAACAGGACTACTCACAACTTTAATTACCTTGCTGAATCAGGGCCTTAAGTCTGTGCTTAATTTTCAACATGTCAATAGTTCCACGGACTTCAATGGGACTAGCCACCTGCTTAAAGTTAAGCAAGTGCTCAAGTGCTTTGATGGATTTGGGGCTGACTTCACCAGTGATGGATAAGAGGAAGTTCACTGCCAGACTGACTTCAAAATTTTCAAATGGAACTTCCTTACTGTGCGTTCACACACCAACACACTTCACACTACTCATGTTTTAGCAACAAAATGCTTTAAATTTGCCAGGAAGTTTTGCCATCAGGACCACAAATCAGATTTTACTTTATTTGAAACTGAGATAAGTTTTGACTTCCAGCTTATTTGCAAAGAACACACATGTTTAAACACTTGACGACTAGATATAAATTAAGGCTCACTTAAAGCACCGATTTTCTCTTTCTTTCTTTCTTCCTTTTTTTTTTCCTTTGGAAAAAGCAAGTCTTGTCAAATATGTATTATACATAATATAACTATCAGTAGAAGGGAATAAAATAGATCTTATGAAAGTTTAGGAGAATTCTGTGCAGAAATGCTTCTCACGTACCAGCAAACGAAGAGACCCCCGCAAAGCCCTTATGTACATAGACAAATAAAAGTTTTTCTTGTGAACTAATTGTAATCTATAGTGTCATGCAAATATAAAGAAATAAAAGAATTGTTTGATATGTTTGTGTGTGTGTGAGAGATCAAGATTTGTATTTTTTAAAAATAAAATAATAGCATAAGTGTATCTAAGTTATTTCTGTGAGTGCTTTAAACATTATGAGGTATATGTACTTTGCCAGGATAAATATCCTTTGAGCCAAGAGCTGATTTAGGGTGGAGTTCTGGATGCAGCAGAACATGCATATTTGTGTTCATCTAACATGTGTTAGACATGTTCTTGGTGAGAGAGGAGAAGAAACAGACAGCTAGAACTGCTAAATGTTTTTATTTTTGGAAGTTAAGAAAAAATAAAAGCTATATTTCACCAATCAGGCAGATTGTGCTGGACAGCTTTTCTAACTCCATATCTAAAGATAATATAATAATGGTGAAATTCATGCACAAAGCTTGTAAAATTGGGGATGCAAGGTCCAGGGAAAGGAATCCCATGGCCCCCACTCTGCAAACAGACTGTGGGATGCCAGTCCAGTCCTTCTGTTACCATCATTTCAGCCTATGGGAATAGTGGCTGCAGAACCTCTATGTCATTCACGAGAAAATTCCTGGTCACTAGATCCATGCAAGTATGGCTACCCAGTTCTATTGCCAGTAGCCTTTTGCCACACTTGCATATTCAGGGACACCCTTCCATTGTGTGCAGGCCCCATTGCAGTCTCCCTCTCCCATCTGCATTGCCACACCATAGATATATAGTGTTGTGACTGGTCTTGCACTAGCCCATGGTGGGGTAAATTTCACCGTACTGAATTCTGGCAGAAATTATGGTCAAATTCTGCGACAGGCCTCTTCCAACCTGCTTATTTTTTACCAGTATAATCTTCAAGTGCAATCTAACTGCATGTTTTCACAAAACGGTTATTCACTTTTCACACTGTAATCCAGCAAAGGCTGAAGAGAGCTGTTCCCTTCTGAGGAAGATAATTCTTTGAAAGTCACAAAGAAATAGGTAGCATGCTTTAGAATCCAGATACACATTACTAAGTTGGCTGGAAGGAAATTCTTGAGTACTATTTAAAAAAAGAGAGCGAGACAGACAAAGAAAGAAACAATCCCTGGTAGCTGAAGGATTGTTTGGGGCTGATTCTTAGAATGATATCTTTCTGGACTTCAGT